AACTTCCAAATTAATCAATGGCCTCATATATCAAATAAGCATAAGATCTTCCCATATAACCAAATAAATGCTCACGGCCGGGGTAGGGGTCAATAGAGGATAGTATAGCCACCAAGACTTTTGGTCAACGCAAAACAGGACCAAAGGGACTCGCGGTCAAGGCAACCCAAGGCACAGAAGGGGAGGAGGCTCACGGCTAAGGCAACCCAAGGTCAAAAGAGGCTCACGGCCAAGGCAACCCAAGGCACAGAAAAAGAGGAGGCTCACAGCTAATACAACCCGAATCAATTATATGAAGATATTTGATATACATAAGAGAGTGAATGGACAAGCCTTCACAAAGCCTCCAAACCGACTCCAATTTCACCAAGTAGGACATAAGGAAACTGTTCAACCCATTCTTCAATCACTTCACTTTATAGATAGGGCAAAGACATACATTTTTGGATGACAAACTTGACTCATCAATCAACGCCCAAGCCACTTCGAGTAGGAAGAGCCAAACAACCCCAAAGGACTACCAGCAAGCTCACAGGTAGGGTTAGGAACTAAAGCCAGCAAAACCACACTCAAACTACCTCTCGTGTAAGGGCAGATAAAGGAAACACCGAGCTCCCAACTAGAGTAAAGTCGAACCACAGCTAAGGTTCAAACCCAAGCCACAACAAAAGGGTAGAAAACACTTCCATGCCTTCAAGACATAAAATGCAATGCCACCATATATTTCGGACATAGCTATGGAACTTTTCCAAATCAAAATAAGTCCCTCCACATTATGCGTTTTTAAGCCAAATATGATCATAAAATGCCAAAACTGAGTCAACCCAAGCCAAAACCGAGCCCAGCAGAGGCCAAAGCAAATAGAACCGAACCCTTCCACAACTATTGAGCAGAGGCAGGAATGAACACCACAACAGGCTCTCGGGTAGAAGCTAAGACAAGCAAATCGAGCTCCCAAATCAAGCCAAAACCGAGCCTAGCAGGGCTAAAACAGGACCCAAGCATCAATATAAACTCAAGCTTTAATAGAAATTAAAGTTCTGGCTACTTCAAGGTGAAACCGATCCATTTAGAATCGAAGGAACAGTTCACATGCTTTCTGAAACATCAAGATATAGAGCCAACATATGTCTTAATCAAGAGCAACAATATAGAGAGTATATTTAGACCCCCAACTTAAATATTCCCAAGCATGAAACAACTTCAACTAGAAGTTTAAACAAAGTTATACCTCATGAGGTGCTAAACCCAACTACCAAAACAAGTTACAAGACTTGTTGAATTAAATAAATCTTTTCATAACATGTATTTTAAGCAAGGAAGAGCCATAAGAAGCCAAAATCGAGCCCCCAAACATGCATGAAAGGCCAAATAAACTCTTCAATATCTCATGCTAAATAAGAATAGATGAAAAGCCTCATAGTACATATCCCAACATACTTGCAAGATGAGCCAACATCAGCTCAAAGCTACATTTTCAATTATTCTAACTTGCTTTTGAACAAAAAGAGAAAAGAGGAGCTAGCATCGTCTCAAAGCCACGTTTCAACCTTCTTATTCACAGTAATAGAAATATGTCATAGTTTCATCTCAAGCAAGTACAGAAAAGAGAAGTACTTATATCATGCTATATTTCCACCATTTTAAGCGAGTAATCAAGTCCAATCCTTAGAACATGCTCATGCTTCCATCTCTAGACGCTGGAGTAACATGCCTTTAAAAAATATAAGTGCAACACTAAGCTAACATGCCACATTATCCATTGCACCAAGCTAACAGAGACTCGACAGAGAGCAAAACCGAAAAGAGGCAAGGCGCAAAAGGGGAAAAAGTACCTCCTCGAAGCAAAAAGAAAGTAACTTAGGAACTTTAAAGGCACTCCCCAACTTCAATTCCTCTTCCAACAGCAAGAGGAAACCAATTCAAGCACCAAAAAATCAAAGAAGTGAGTGAGAAACAAAAATGACAGGGTTTCCTCCCTTAGAAAAATTTTTTTCTCCACCTCTCCAATGCTAAAAAAACTGAGCTTTTAATAAAGAAGGAGAAGAATGATTAAGAAGATACGGCAAGAAGATACGGATAAGACAGAGGAATCGAGGGCAGAGGATAGGATCCTCGCAGAGGCCACGCTTTGCGGCAAGGAGAGTCGAGAACAGAGGATACGATCATCGCAAATAGAATCTTCGGCAATGATAAGGGGATGGAGATAAGGGGATGGGTCGTCTGCGAGATTGTCTCGCGTGCGAGAGGAACGAGCGCGGGAGTGAGACTCCAACGGCACGAAGGAGTGGGCCAGGCAAAACCGAGCGAACTGAGGCTAGGGCAGAGGTCCACGAGCACGACAGGAAAAACGAGAGAGGGGAAAATGAAATTAGGTTAAGGATTTTTAATATAAGTTATTAATTATAATAATCATAATAATAATAATATATTATTTATTAACATTTAAATATGTATTTTCCCCAAGACGCGTCGTCGCAATGAAACAAACGTCCCCCATAGGCAAAATTGATGTTCCGGACGCATCGGCGCAGTCCGTTTCGTCATTCGGAGTCGTCCGGGCAACCTCGTCGTCGATCGGGTTAAAAATGCGTCGCGGTCCAAATCCTATCAAATTTTCAGTATGAGTTCAATCAAACATGGCGGTGCAGAGGACAGCGGCGCCAAATCAACGAGTGCAGTCAATCCTAAAGCCGACAGTCCTATAGGAATACTCTCTGAATTTCTTCGGAATAGCCTTACTTGCTAAGCAATAACGGTCAAAACTACTATATGGAACGTCAAGTCGAGCGAAGAAAAGTTCAGAATTGCAAATGGGGAGGGCTCCTTCACTAGTTTTCTAGGAGTAGTCGACAGAAAGGTCCTACGATTAAATCCTAGGCAACTAAGGAGGGGAAAACTGCATCTCGACCGAAAGCGAGGTCAACACTATGCCAAAAAACCATTAAAAGTAAAGCAGCATCAAAGAACAAGACACCCAATTTGGCAACACAGAAACTTGAGTTAAGGAAGTTATTGCCCAATTAATAATTTGATCACCTTTAATATTGCAATTAAACCTTTTTTTATGCCATTACCTAGCCCCATCCTCCTAGTCAAACTATTTTAGATGGAATAACTCCAATATTATTACCACCCGTTCCTTTTATGCTACAAGCCCAAGAAATTATTTCAAAACAACAATTAATAATCTCTCTTTTATGTCATAAACTCCAAGCACCATTCTCTCAGTTAAACTCCTAACACATGGGGTCACTCGAATGCTAGTACCACTTATCACTTTTATGCTGCAACGCCTAATCAACTATTTAAGATCCTACAACATCATTCATGCCACAAAATATAGTGCATATAACAATGCAAGGAATGTTGTGGCACAACACTCACTGCCATTAGTGATGTATTAAGCTGTGCAAAATGCATGTGCTATCTGCACTGGGCACACAACATATACTCGTTTGTAATTTTTTTTCTTTTGCAGATAGTTTTTTGGAGAAATAAGATTCACTAATCTTTTTCTCATGCAAGCACAATGGTACTGCCTTTTCTAATAAAATTATTATGATGCCACTTCCTAAACGATAACAAAGAATGAAGATTTTCATGGTTCTACTTTTAAAATAAAATAAAAAAAATGATAGTGTCCCCTCCTTCCATTTGAGAGTTTCTATTTATTTAGATTACTTTTACTTTTCTCCTTTCTATTATTAGGTGGCCGATGTTTTTTAATTTAGAAAAATTCTAGGTAGAGTATCCCTCTCTCAAAGTAGTTGCTGGATAGATTATCGATTTAATCTCTATTTCCCTCGTGTTAAACTACCAGCTTACTTTGAATTTGGAATAATTTTGTTTCATCGCCTATAATCAATTTTCCATTGGACAACTTTTTTAGTTCACCTTCTAGAATCATTTTCCCATGCTTTTGATTTGACTCAAATGTTAAATATTTTTTTAGCATGTAATAAGATTTTGTTGGTTTAAATCTTGTTCATTGTTGTCATACATTTGTAATGTGTCTGATGTCATTGAGAAAGAGAATTTATGTTAGCTTCCTTAACTCAAGTTAGCTTATTTTGCATTTATTTTGGTTTTATAGGTATTATAGATAAAGTGAATGATTTTATGTATTCAAACTTCAGATTTCACTTTTATATATGTTGAACTTATTATCAAACATTATTTTATAGAGATTATGTCTTACATCATCAAATTATTAATAAAACTTTATTTTTTTTATGAATGACAAGTCATGCTATATGCTATAAGCTACGGCACTAATAGAGCCTTGACCCTTGTGTCCAACAATGAGGCCTTTTCTCATGGCAAAGCAAGGCACCCAAAACCAAGCAAAGCTTAACTAAGTCAAGAGAGTGAATGGATTAAATCTGGAATAAATTTTAGTTAATAAGAATCTGAATAAGCCAGGACATCTTAGACATTTCAATTTTTCTTGGGAAAGGATCACATTGACTCCAGAAAAAACCAATTCTAAAACTATAATTAGTATTAGCATTTGCACGGCATTGGTGTACAATATTAAATAAGAAAGAAGCAACAAAATATTCCATTATATGGCTGTTATGTTTCAAGTATAAAGATGCTGAGATTTCAAGAAAAGTTGAGAGACAAATTCACCTGTTTTTAGAAGACATAAACTACAACCAAAAGGAAAAAAAGAAAATTTACATACATACCTACCATCCCTTTGTACTTAACATTTAAAGTTTGATATTTACATTTAAAACACTTTGGTGTCATAACTATAAATGAAAAAGTGTATTTCGCTTTTAAAATGTTAGTAATTGAGGTATTTTTAGTCAATATTAGGGTTTGAGAGTTATCTATGTAAATATGAAAGTTTATGTGCTAGATATATAGATACATAAGAATTGTGTGGTATGTATGTAATACCCCAAAAATAAAAAAAGGTTTAGACTTCAGCGTTAACACATGACTAGTGGGATTACAAGATATTGCATCTTAGGCTCAAAATAATGTACCTTTCTGCTTTGCAGACATAGGCTGCACATAAACATCTTGTGTTGATGATAGAGATGACCTTTCAATTGCTCTATATTCCTAAATTTGTTCCTTCTGTTGCCATCTCTCTTTTGGTCAGCTGCATTATTATCACATATACTACAAGAAAGCCTGCACATTGCTCTTATCATTCTGTAATGGTCCACATCATTAAAATATGCCTGAGAGTCCTCATGGTACCAGTATTTACCATGCTGGCCTTCACTAACACCGGGTGGGAATTCTGAAAAATCTGATTTTGCCTCGGTGAAATTCCCCAACGCCTGCCAAACAAATGTGATCCTCTATTTTATTTTCTTAATTCACAATGATCCTAAGAATAAACATGAATGATGTTTATTCAAAAAATAAAAAGTGCAGGTAAATAAACTATGCACCAAGACATGCAGTAAAGCAACAAAATATGAAAAAGATGACAAATAAAGGACTAATTTTCAACCAGGAATCCTTCAACAAGGTATTCTACATACAGGCATGAGTCAGCAACAAGGATGCCTGGCGCCATATCTCATATGAGCATCAATGATCTAATGAGTGCATGCGTGATAAAAAATCCAATGCGTAAGTAACAAAAAAACAACTAAAGCATAAAGCAAGCTGTCTATTAAACAGAAGATAACGCCCAAAACCCTAAAAATAAAAAAAATAAAAAAAGAGCAGAGGGGTCAAAGCAGAATTGGATGACCAAAGAACCATAAACGAACAGAAAGCAGATCCCCCAAAAAATCAAGAACGGGAAGTCTAATTTAACCTTGGTTACAAAGACGGTGGGGCAATCGGTTTTGCATATGCAGCAGTGACGGTCGCCAAGGATGAATCGGAGGCGTACAACGCAGGTTGAGCACAGTTCGCGATGGCCGCATGATCCATAGGCGATCCACTCGAGGGTTTCGGCGCACACAGCACAGCAGTCTTCCATGTAGGCGTGAATTTCGTCTTCGGGGGGAAGCCAATTAATTTAGTCGGAAACAGGAAAGAACCCTAAGACTGCGACTTCTTTCGAGGAGGCGTTCTTGTGCATTTCGAGTTGAAGAGAAGAGATCGATTTAAATTCAACAATTTTCCATGCCAAAAAGAGGACGATCGACATGATCCGCAGACACGGTTGCGATATTTCTTGAACCGCACACCAAGTTAGTTGTATTCATATTTATATGATTCTTTATAAATTAGAGAATAGATGTCTAGCAATAAGTTCGAAAATTAAAATTGTTTAAAAAATATTTAATTAGTAAAACTACCTAAAATATATACTTGTAAAAGAGTAGAACTATAAAAATGTATAAATTGTGCTAAAAATACATGATAGTGTTGAAAATAAAGTAAAAACTTCTAAGGTCTTGAATTTGACATAGCAAAGTATAGATCATCGAAAGACTGTTATGGCTGATTAGTTACCCCAACTAAACAAATTCGATTGAATGTATCTGGTTAACCCAAAGATTGCAGGTACTTGCCAACCGAATGATAAGGTAGTCTAACCATAGACCACTTTATTTTCTCTAGGTCTAGAAAAATTCTGTAACACCGTCATTAAAGTATGAGCAACCATGTAATTTTTCACTTTATACCTCCATGCCTAAAAATTGGAGGGTCATTTCTACAATAAAGGGTTCATCATTCACCTTTAAAAGAATCAAATTCTAACTATCTCTTTCTCTCTTTCTCATTTTCTCTCCTTCTCTCTCCTATTTTATGCTCCATTTCTTAGGTGTGATTCATATGATAGATTTGGATTAACGTCTTGAAAGGTGAAGTGAGCATGGTTGTCAAATAGCAAGACTAAGCTATTTTAATTCAAAATAAAGGCAAGTGCTCCTTCAAATCCCTCTAAAAAGCCAAGAACTTTTAATGGACAATCGACTGTGAGCAGGCATTCAATGGTTTGAAGAATTTCTTAGCATCATCACCGCTTGTGTAAAGCCCAAATGAATGTAGAAATCTCGTTGAACTTGAGAGTGAGAGTTGAGGTTGTCAGCTCAATGTTGGTCCGAGAAGATCTAGGAAAGCGATTTACTCTTTACTATACCAGTTGGATCCTCAGAGCCACAAAAATTGGGTATCCATCGTGGAAAAACTAATCTCTGCCTTGATCGTTTCAGCAGGCAAGCTCCAACCATATTTTCAAACTTATATGATCTGGTTCATCGCCCCTCAAGTTCATGCTCACTTGACCGGAACACTCCAATCGGCTCCTCAAATGGGAGGTGGAGCTCAGTGAGTTTGATACTTTCTACAACCCCAAGATGGTGATTAAAGCTCATGATGTGTTGGATTTTTCCAAACGATGCGAATAGAACAAAGAAACAACTGCCGACAAATAGACTTGGATCCTGTACACCGAAGATAATTTCAATCAGATCGGAGCAAGGCGCTTGGACTCACCTTGAGCAACACGACTAGAGAGCACATTTATCACTCGGTTCACAGTGGAGTTCAAAGTAACAAACAAACAGGCAGAGTAAGAGACTCTGATAATCGGCCTACGACAAGCTTATGAAATGAAAGCCATGTATCTTTTGGTGAAGCCAAACTCACAGTTGGTGGTGAGAAAAATAAATGGAGAGTTCAAGGCCAGAGACAAAAATGATGTCCAAATACCTCAGCAAAGTATTTTGGAAGGGAGGAAAATCAAGTGGATGACCTTTTATCCTTATGTATCCGCTTGGGAAGGCAACCTACCATCGAAGAACCTGAGGTGATTGAAGTACAGAGTGAAGGGAAAAAGACCTGGATTGACCCATACATCCATTATTTGAAGATCAAGGAAATTGCTAAGGAAATCGTTGATCCAAGGAGGCTTAAGTACAAAGTTACACGGTATCTAATTATTGAAGGAAAACTCTTTTCGAAGTTATTCCCTTCTTTATACTCGAAAGAGAAACAAAGAATATCCTCTGAGAGATACACTTTTGGCTGACATTACTAAAGGATGATGAAGACTTCTCTAAGAGGTGCGAGTAATTCCAAAAGTACGCCCCACTGTAACATCTGTTGACCCATAATCTCCATGTGATCATAAGCCTTAGCCTTTTAACGTCTGGGGACTCAATATTCTTAGGTTGTTTCCTCCGTCCAAAGGTCAATTCAAGTTTATCTTGGTCATCGTCGATTATTTTTTAAAATGGATAGAAGCCAAAATAATCTCCTAGATCACTACAGAAGTTGTCTGGAACTAGACAGATCCATCAATCAATATGGTGTGTCACTCTTCATCATCACCAATTATTGGACATAGTATACCGACAAAGGGGTAAAAGATTTGAATCAGAATTCAAGGATAAGTCTAAAGTTTACCTCGATACATCACCCTGGATTGAACATGACATATAGAGGCTACTAATAAGATTATTCTTAACTACTGAGAAGGAAAGTTAAAGGAGCTAAGGGAAAATGGGCTGACGTTCTTCCATCAGTCTCGGGCATTCCAAACAACCCCTTCAATAGCAATCAGATTGAGTCCTTACATGCGGCACTGAATGGAAGCAGTATTGTCAGTCGAGTATAATCTTCATAGCCAAATGATCATCACAGTCTTAGTTTTTGATGAAGAGAATCTAGTCGACTGGCAAAACGTGCTCAATCTGGCGAAACAAAATTGAACAAATTCAACCTTTTGATAGGAAGAGCTTAAGAGGAGAACCACCCACTACTACAACAAACATGTATGGGAAAGTACATTTGGCCCATAAGATCTTGTGCTAAAGAAATTTGTTCTATTAGCTCGCAGATAAAGGATTGATAAGAAACCAGACTTGGATCGGCCCATACATTGTCAATCAAAGGGTTCCCTTAGAGCTTACATGTTGAATACCTATAATGACAAAGGTAATACCTTGTATCACCACAAAAAAATACTCCCTTATAAATTCCTTGATACACAGAGTGGATGACCTTTTATTATCAAGCATATTTCTACTTAGGAATTCCTTGTATCACCAAAAAAAATAATAAAGAAGGTGTTTTCATTCTAATGAGTTTATAATCTTTTTCCTTTGAGAAATGTTGAAAGCGTGAAATGGGCAATTCACCAAAAAAAATAATAAAGAAGGTGTTTTCATTCCAATGAGTTTATAATCTTTTTCCTTTGAGTATATAAGTATGTAACCCCAATTTTGAACAACATTCGGAGAACTCATAGAGTTCACAAGACCAAATATTTAGCAAACAATCGAGGAACTTGAACCCAAGCCACGAAGCTGACAACAATGCCTGAATGTTCGATCAACAAAACATAAAGCAATACAGCCACAACTCTCATGCATCATGGGCATATTTCCTAACTTGGTTGGGTATAACTCTAGAGATGGTTCCTTATCTAGTAGCAATAAGCTCAGCAAAGGTTACCGAGCGAATCACCATAGAGTTGAGTTCTAGTGGTTACCCCTGTGAAAGCAATAATAAGGTCCATTTAAGAAGCATAGGGGTTATTCGACTTAGGACGAAGATCTAACCAAGAGACCAAGACTCGATGAGTATAAGACGTGAGTCTTGTATCTACACCAAAATAAAAAATGGCCCAAGACATCCAATCAACATTCAAAAATAAAATGGGCCCTTGCTCAAGCATCAAAAACATGTCTCTAAACTCAGGCCAAGTGAAGCACTAGAGGTGATTATATTTCTAATAGCAACAAGTTTTGTGAATGGTACCAAGAAAATCACCCCGAAGGCTAACCATAACTATTAATCTGCTCTAGTAAAAAACTAGACCAAGCAAATGAGACGAGGGAAAACAAGTATTGAGTTGGGTAGAAAATAAGTCAAAATTGACTAGAAAGACTTTCCCAAAGAGTGATTAATTTAGCGATACACACGCATAATAAATAGTAAAAAGTAAAGAACAGAAAAGGTAATAGCGAAAGAAAGGTAAAGAGAATGTCTATAGTTGTATTTCATTACATTTTTGTTTATAAAAATTTTCCTTTCACAAAATATACTCATTCTTTTCAATTCTTTGCAAAAAAGAAAAATAAAAAACCAAAAAAAATTTTAAGTATAGAAATAAAAATGACTGAATCATGGGTTGGATGTGACATCATCCATCACTTAGCCTTCTCTAAACATACCACTTCCACCCTATGATGCTAAAGGAGCAGAGAAAATTTTAGTGAACTCATCTAAATCAAAGTATTTCAAGTAACTATTCCAACCCGTATGAACTTGTTGATTATCAGTTTCAAAATGAGTCAGACTTGATTGGTATGATCATCAATGAATTCCTCAAACGTCTTTACTGGACATTTCTGAAGTCTCCACACGTCATCCCGTTGTTGGATGTGCTTTCCACATCAATCACTAACTCAGCTCTCTGTTGATGTCCCATTTACTTGTCTGACTCCATCCACATCATCTGATTCGAATACAAGCCAATGGGCGACATCCATTCATCTCCCAAAATGAAACATAACCCGTAAACTGTCCAACTACTAGACATAAGATCTTGCTCGATACTCAACCAAATTAAGTGTGACTTGTTCCTACACCTTCATCTATGTGAGATGAACCTATCAATATGGTTAAGTGGACATGAATTGTTGGTTTCTTTTATAAAGTTCCAAACTGAGGCAAAAATAAAAGTATTGAGCTCATACATTTGTCCTAGAGTTGAGGCCTTGATTGGATTGGTTGAGAAGATTTGTCTTGCACCCACAAACCTCCTCCAAGTGTCAATTTGAGCTATCGACGGGTCCAAGTATGAAATCAGCCGAAGGGTGACTCGAGTCTGGTCTTGAACTAGGTTAGAGGGCTCGGTAATGAGTGCTTTTGATTGGGAAAGTGATTTTGATGTGTTGTGAATCTTTTGGGATGATCAATTTTATATTTGGTTGAGTTTGGAAGAATGATCGAAAAGCACCTAGTTTTAGGGTTTGAAATTATGGTTTTGTGGATATTTTGGAGGCTATAAAATGATGGGGAGGAGGTTTGCATGACTGCGGGAATGCTTTGGAATGATTTTGGCAGGGCTTTTCCAGGGTTTGTGCATATCTCTCCTTTTTTCGTGGGGTGGTGCCCTATTTATAAGCTAGGTCATGGTCCATGGTTGTCGATTAGTCAAGGTGAGGAGTCCAAAGTGGTGTTTAGGTTGAGGGAGGGCTGGCAAGGGAAAGCATCCAATTG